AAATGAGGATTCAAGTGACCTGAATGTTTGCCTCAAGTGGGCAGCTGACTAGGAAAACCATTAGACATATATTTACCTCAGTTTGCAAGAGTACAAAGAGACACTGAGGATTGAAGCTCCTCCTTTCTACCCAGAACTGAGCACGGAGGTAGCTATTCTACAGAGATTGCTTTGGATTATAGAGGATGGCACTTGTGTCTCACCCAAAGTATTGTGTTCTGACACTTGTTTCCATTTCTTGCATCTCCTGGAGCCTAAAAATCTCACCTCTTTGATCACTAGCCAACATTTCCAATTTACTGCACCCTCCAACTTCTTTGGACTGAGCTCCAATGACACCCCATCATTCCACCCCACTGGGTCCTCACTCATTTAGGTGGGCTTCTGTAATATAAATATGCATGATACACAGGCTTCTTACTTTACGTTTCCTCCTAATGCACACACACAGCAGCTGGGTACAATCTTCTCTCCGATAAACACAAGCTGTAAGTTTTCCCTATTTATGAATAACACGCACTCTGAAATTGTTTTTACAACTGGATACAAATTTCATCAGATAAATTCAGACATGTTTGTTGGGTTCCCCAACAAGACTCCCCAGTAGCCATCCTCATCTGGGCAATTTACCTCCATGATAAAATGAAACCTTATTAATAACCACTTTTGATCCCTAGGCAAATTCTAATTTTAAAATTGGCTTTTCTTTAATGTCAGAGACAGACCCATCTTGTTCCCCATGTCATATACATAAAAAACCTTCAGAGAAATTGGGAATTTGCCTGCCCTGTCCTGAACAGTGAGTGTATCAGTGCAAAGACCACTACAGAGAAGAAACCTGTGGCATTGGGGGAATCTGGCATCTTTCTATAGGTAATAAGAATTAACATTGGCTGAGTACTAATGGAGTGCCAGGAAGGAATCTGATTATGTGCAGTATCTCATTTAGCACTCACAAATACAGTACACAGTCATTACTATTTTTGCTTCTATTTAGAGATGGGAAACTGAAGATTAGTTTTTCTGAGGATTGTGAAAAGTCACACAGAAGTAAGTTTCAGAGGTAGGATTCAAATGGACTCCACCGTCAGTATTCTAGTCTTATTCAGGACACTATAAAAAGGGGGCTTTCCATTGAACTTGATTATAGCTGGTAAGTTTCAGTAGACACCAGACTAAAACTTGGGTCACCTGACTTACACTAAGGGTAAGTGAACAGGATTTTCTCAAAAACATATTGATAACTTCATGGCCTCATTCCAAAACAATCTTAGAATCTACTTTCAAAAGCTGAGATGTGACCCAGCAGAGGAAATATATTGAGACAAAGTTTAAGATGAAGGGCCTATTGTAATTTGCAAACAAAGGCAGAGGGCCCCCTCAATCTGGAATGAGGGTTCCATGGATAACATGCCCCCTCCACACACACACAGAACATAAGGAATGTCACCAACTTTTTGTAGCAGTGTGAAAGTAGGTTCTAGATGCGGTACTAGTCTTGTCCTCCATCCTCTACTGGAAAGACCCTTTTCTCCAGCTGTCAACCTGCCATCTCCATGTGACTGTCTCATAGAACCTTTTACTCATTCTTTCAGCCTGGACCTCTCTAACTCTATTCTTTACAGAGTCCTCCCTATCACAAGAAATAGTACCACCTAGTTACCAACCAAAACTTGGGAGTCATCCTGAATCCCTTTATTTTTCTTAAATCCCAGAATCCAAACTCCCAGGAAGTCCTAAACACTATACTTCCAAACTATGCCCCTTAACTTTCCATTTTTCTCCATCACCACTGCCACCGCCATCTCTTCTCCCTTGCTCTACTCCTGAAAACCTCCCTGCTTCTATTCTGTATGCTTGCAAACCATTCTTCACACAACCAAAGTCATATTTTAAAACTTTAGCAGTCAGATCACGTCACTTTCCAGCTTTAATTTTTCCAAAGTCATTGCGCTGCACCGGATCCAGTGCTGCATTTTCTATTAGAAATTGCCCTAAAAACAATGTCTGTAGGTCCGAACTGACGCTCTGGTTTGTACACAGGGTTTTCACATCCTTTTGCTTCTATCGGAAATGTCACAAGTTGTTATCACAGGGAAGTGAGAGTAACAATACATAATCATAATTTATGATGAGTAAATGCATCCAGTATGCCAAGTTCTTTGGCAATGTGTTACATGCATTACCTCATTAATTGTCACCTTGTATTAATCATGTTTTAAATTTTTTTCTGTATTTTATGATGTTTTCTTGCTAATTCTGGAGCGACTGCCCCTCTCAGGGCTGATTTCTAGACACAGCAACCAACGTACCTTCAACATGTCTTTCATATGCAAACCAGTAAGCGAGAGCCCACATCCCCAACCATCTCCTTTGTCCAACTTGGCACACAGCAAGCCAGTGTTTCCCATGACATAACCCACCCCAGGGACCAGTAGGGACAACTGAAGAGCACTCCATACCCCGGAGCCCCCCAGAATTATTCAAACAACCCAATCCTAAACCTGCTCAGGCTTGCCTCCCCGTCTCACCCATTCTTCCCTGTGGAAACCACAAGAAAAGCTCTGGGCCCTGCTTTCCTTTTTTAACCCACGCTGGTGCTGCCCCATGTGGCCCTGTTTGGCTTGCTGTGTCCCTCCTCTTAGGAATACTAAGTAAGTAATTAATAAACTATTCTTTCAAGGCAGCTGTCCCTATGCCTGCTGTCCTACCAGACCTTAAACAAAATCTTGGGCCATTTCAAGGCATGCCCGAGCCCTCTGAGATAGCTGAAGTAGGCATTATTTAGCACCAGTTACATGGCTGAAGGGTTGAGGGGCCTGTGTCTGAAGAGACGGTCCAACTTCAGAACCAACACTCTTAGTCAGTGCTCAAATTTGCCCTCCTAAAATATGACTTATATATGTCATGTCATATATCCCAGAGGGGTTTATGTGGGGGTCTTCCTATCACAGTACTCAGCCAAGCATTTCAGAGAAAACTTCTGATAATATAGTACTTTAGTCTTTGTTCATTGTGAACTCCAGCTCTTGTTCTTTCCCATTACAGTTTGGTTTGGCCTTCCATTCTAGAAACGCATATATTGGTCTCTAGCAAGCCTTACAGGTGAATGATATCTCCCCCACAAAATCATAGACTGGCAGAGCATCTCAGAATTTAAATGATTAGGTGTGATATGTATACAGAAGACCCAGGTACACTCAAATCTTAGGGAAAGATGTGTCTCATTAAAACTGCTGGGTGACCCCAAAATAAGTAGCTTGGCTCCTCTGTGAGATGTTGGCCTATCCTCCTGACATAATTACACTTCTTAGCCCTACAGTCTAGGAGCTCACGGGTGAGTGGTCAGCCTGATTCTGGCCTCTTCAAATTTCTGCTTTCTGGAAAGGAGCTGATAAATGTTTTAATATGTTAACACATTTAAAACATATATAGCCTGCCTAGTAAGAAGTATTCTTTGTTTCTGAGGTATGATGATCTATTTAAACATTTAGACCTACTAAGTATGTGGGCTACCATTTTATAAGAGGGGGAGCTGAGCCAGTATTTGTTTATGCTCAGCCCCTCAAAACTGAGAGCAGGTAGTATACCTTTGGGTCCTTCAACAACTAGAGAGTTTAAAGCTTATTTTTGAGTTAAATTTCACTAACAACTTTTCAGACCCCAGCCTAATTTAACAAAAGGATTTGAAAAAGACTACAATAAAGCAAATGCATACAGCAAACATTAAGTTAGGATGCAAACATATGAGCTATGCAGTAAGGGATGGCTTCCACTGGGGGAGTAGAAAAAAAGCCACATGCCAAGCCCAAAGAAAAGTTTGGGTTCTCCAGTTAAGAATCCAAAGAAACTGGTGGGCTGGCCTTTAAGGATGCCTAATCACCAAGTCTCCCCGCAATACCATTACCGTGCCACTTCGTTTGTTAATCATAAAGCCACAGATGGAGTTTATGAAAGTCAACCTTAATACGTTGTAGGACCTCCATGTGTTTTTCCCACCTCTTCGGTTTTCATAGTAAGATACTTGGATAATAAGCGTGGAGCAGGAAGCGGAGGGCCTCTTTGGCATGCTGTGAGGCAGCGAGCAAGCGTAAGGGCCAGGCGTGTTTCCGAGGTGGATCATCCGAGCAGAAAGAGTGCTCCGCCTTACTGCAAAGGCCCAGAGGAGTTCTGCGTTCTGCTGTGCCTTGGCCCAGCAGGGACCGGGCAGCAGAGCGGCGGACGCACACACAGTCCGCTCTCGAGAGTGGGAAACGCAGCTCGTCTCAGGGGTGGGGCTTGGCAACTTCTGCACCGGCTCCAGGGGGAAGGTGTGAGCGTCACTTTGCAATTTGCAGCTTCCCCAGAGCTCCCTCCCCGCCCACCCCTCCCGCTCCCCAACCCGGTCCCCGCCCGCCACCCGCTGGAAGCGTACGGGAGAGGCGCAGCCTTCCGTCGCCCGGCTCGGGTGTCGCAGGGAGCAGAGCCGGAGAGGTGCTGCCGCTCGCCATCCGGCTCGCCGGCCCGTGGCACCGGCGCGGCAGGGGTTAAGGTGGGCGCCCGCCGGGAGAAGCGCGCAGCGCGCAGCCCGCCGCCCGCGCGCGCCGGCACCGGAGCAAGTGGCGGTCAGCGGTGCAGCTGCTGCCATGACAACCCCGTCGGCCGGGGCCCGCGCGCGTCGGGGCCGCTCCCGGGAGGACGGCGGCGCGGAGGCCGGGGGCGGCCGCTGAGCGTGGTGTCGCGCGTCCCCGCGTCCCTTGCCGCGTCCCCGGAGGAGGTGGGGGCGCCGCCCCCAGCTCCGGAGCGCCCGGAGCCTGCGCCGGGCGGCGCTCCGCGGGCGGGCGAGCGCGGGCCGGGCTGGCCTCCAGTCGCCGCCCGGGCTGCCGGAGGACGTCCGCGGACCGGAGGATCCTCGGGCTCGGACGGCTGCGGGTCCCCGCGCTGGAACTTTCTACCGCCTCTGGGTTCCAGATTCGAGACTTGGGCTGGTTTAAAATACATCTATCTACACATGTGTGTGATCTAATAAAACATTTCTCCTCTCCTTGAAGCAGCAGCTTTTTATGACATCTCCTTTATGTCAGAGACACTTGCCTTGCTTCTTTGGGTTATAAACTTTTGATGCCAGACCTCTGCAGAACGTGCCCATCTGAATCCTAAAGTAGCATCTTGAAGAAAGAGGCAGAGAACGAGCAATCTGTGACCTTCATCCCTGCACCTACCTCCTTCCTCTCCCGGCTGCCTCCCTCCACCCCAGGGGAGCGTCAAGAAAGCTCTTTTTGGCTGCAGGAGGGGGCATCTGGTTCTGTGAGGCTGGAAAGCCGAGGCAGGATCTGAGGAAGAACCGTTAGACTCCGGAGAGCCCGGACTGCTGCTCCTTCCCCCCTGCCTCTGGCTCGCTCCCTCCCCGGGCTCCCCTCCAGCGCTCTCTGAGACCCGCTGGTGTGTGGGGCAGGGGACGAGGACCGCGCCGCTGCCAGAGTTCTGGGAAGTTGTGGCTGTCGAGGATGGGGGTCTGTGGGTCCCTGTTCCTGCCCTGGAAGTGCCTCGTGGTCGTGTCTCTCAGGCTGCTGTTCCTTGTACCCACAGGAGTGCCGGTGCGCAGCGGAGATGCCACCTTCCCCAAAGCTATGGACAACGTGACGGTCCGGCAGGGGGAGAGCGCCACCCTCAGGTAGGGAGCTGTACTTCAGCGGGGGCTGTGCCCCCTGGATGTGAGGGTGTGATTGCAGGGGTCCCAGGCAAGGAGGAGAGAGAGAACAGAAGGCTTGCGTGGGGACTGCAGCACGTGAAAGGGCCTTTTGCAGGCCGGAGAGAGGGGCCCACTTGTGTACTGTGGCAGCTAACGCCCATCCTCCTGGACAGGTTTGTCCTTTGCTCTGGCTTTTCTGGTCCACAATCTTGCAGTTGAACACTTAGGGCCATGCTGGGGACTCCAGGTGTCTATGAAGCCGTGACATGGCTAGATTCACTTTTGCCTGAGCACCAGGATGGGAACATAAGAGCCCTAGAGTTGAAATACTGGGGGCCGGGAAGGGGGGCAGGGGACTGGTGAGTCGAAGCTCACTGGTGGCTCTTTTACAGGCCTGAAGATATATTAGGAGGCAGGATAATCCTCTGGATGGGCAAGCTTGCTGCTGTCAGAGAGATCCCTAAAACGCAAGCTCTGGAATGGAATTGCCAGCGCTAGCCATGGCCCTTTATGGGTCTGCTCGAGAGTCAGCCATGCGCATCATCCTGTGTGGTGCTCCAGGGGCCCCTATTATAAATTATGAGGGCAGTTTTATTTTTGCAGGCTCGGGCCAAGGAGAGGAAACATGTAGCTTTTATGCAAGGACATCACTGTTGTGCGAAAAGCAGAATAGAAAGCTTTTTGTTTTACCTTAATGAGTTACAGAGAATCACTTACATGCTCCAGGCAGAGGGGTGGAGATTCTTGGAATATGAACCTTTAGGGACTGGGCCTGCTGCAGCAGAGACTTTAATAAAAATGCAGCCACCACTTTCCACCAGCTCAGCAGATATCATCTTTTATACCTTTAATGAGGCAGTTCTGGTCCTAGGAGACAGATTCAGGGACGTCCCAGCTTACTCTGGCTCACAGTGTACACAGGCTGAATGTGTTTGCCCTGCCTATGACTTTGATGGTTATAGTGAAAATAAAACACTCTGCCCCAGATTCTGCAGCCAAAAAGCCTGGCATCCCTGAAGAACAAATGAAGGTAGGTTTTCCTGCCTGTTCCTTGGCTCCTGTTGTTGAATTCTCTCTGCATCTAGACAAGCCTCTCCCTGGGGAAGGAAAGAAAGGCCTTGATGCACTGGCTATTCTTTCCCAAGCCCAGGCACTGAGGTTGGCTTCTTGCCACCTTGGGTAATTCTTAGCTGCACCTTCTTTTGAATTAGAGAACAGACCCCACACGGTGTCTGCTGGTGGTCAGGGGCCCTGGAGAAAAGGGGAAAAAAGGGGGAGAGAGACAGACCTCCCTCCTTACCACAGGAAGCAAAACCCTCTAGGCCATGTGAGTGCCCCACAGTCTGTCCCAGATTGGAGTGTGATATGCCTACTTCACTGTCTCAAAGACGTTCAGGACTCCATTCCCTGAGAACTGACTTGTGGATGCACATTTGCAGCAGACCAGTCAGCTCAAATATAGAGCAGCACCTAGGCTACAGTGCACATTAACCAGGGAATCGTGAGTAAATGTTAGTAGGTGTGAAGGGATGTCGACGCTGCCACATACCTCTTGATCTTCTAATCTACTCCTGTGGGAAGAAAGGCCCAACTTGAATAAGGCCTCACTTATGAACTTTACAAAATCCTCTGTCCTCTTCCTGCCCCTGAAAGTTAAACTAGAAACTTAAAAGACTCCTGCTTTGTTTTTCCTGATGCAGTAAGACTATTTCACCAGCAGAGGGCCAGCTTTGCTCGACCTTTTTTTACTAGCTGCTGGCCTGTTTTCATGATCTTCAATTCTAGTGTTTAGCAGCTGGGTTTGGTAATGGGAATGGGAATAAAAAAAGGAAAAGCTGAATAGTTGCTTTTTGTTCTTCGTGGAGGGAAAAAGAAAACCCGTACATGTTCGAGTGTAACTGCTATCTGTACCTGTTTGCATGCTTTATTTTTTAAAAGAGAGCACGTCTCTTGTTGATTTTGCCTCTCATCTTCTGTATAATCTGTCCTGAAATAGAGAAATTCAGTACAGTGTACACATTTAAATCTCCTTACATACTCTATTTTTTTTTGCTTCTTGTTTTCTCTTTTATTACTTTCTTCCTTAATTTTTATCAGAGGCTTCCATTTTATAAGCTTTTGTCTATTACTCATTCTCTTCTCTTTTTATTTTTGCCTTCATCACTTAACTCTTATTCTCTGATATTTTGAAATTCTCATTTCACTACTGTCCCAGTGTTTCTTAAAACAACATAAACAGCCCCTGTGGCTTCCTGGGGATCCCAGCCTCTCTCTTTTGTTTTCCATACTCCTTTGGTTTACTGACTGAAAGCTGTGTGCCTCAGGAAGTCCACTGCCTCAGCCCTAGATGAATGTATCATATTTCATTTCATGTTTGATTTTTTTCCCTTAAGATACTGTAATTCTCAAGTATGGTCACTCTTTAGGCCCCTTAAAGGTGTTCCACTGGGAATTCAGTGTTTGGGAATTTAGTGTTCTGAATGCATTAAATGTTCAGAATCTATTGGGAAAACATGGATGATTTCCATGCCCATCAGCCACAGAAATACTTTTCAAATGTGGCTGCCCTGGATCAGGGTGCCCCTAGCCTGTTTCTAAATCTTGAATACTGCTGTGTAGAAGCCCAAATACCTGGTAGGAAAAGCAAAGGAATGGAGACAGCTGGGTCTTCCTTATCTATTGAGAAATTGCACGGCTTAGAGAAAGATGATTTCCTGGCTTGGAGATGCCAGTTTGTTGTGCTAGTTCTTTGAGGGACGTTAGAAAGCGACATGCCAAAGGTGACACTGGAGTTCTGAATGTGAATGGAACACATTTTATACAAGTGAGGCAATATTATTTTCCTCATAACTACTCACAGAGCTACTTGGAAAGTAAAAATAATTATTTGAATGTTGCGTTATTTCACCTTCTTGGAAGAGAGATGTTATGGAAAATGAAGGTGGTATTCACAAAGGCTGAATTATACCTTTTATGAATCTGAGTTGAATTCATTATTGCAAATGGGCCCTCTTCGCCAGAATCATTTCATTACAATTATCCGCTGTTGGTTTAAAAATGTTCTGCGCCTTTCCATTAGATTAGAGATGACATGTATCTAGAAGTCTTGTGTCTGTCAAGAAAGGAGCCCAGGATGCTTGTGTGGTCCGCTGATGGCTATTAATCCATTTTGGTTGCAGGCTGAGGGCCAGATGCACTTGCTCATGGGCCTCAATCTCCTCTAAACCTGCTTTTGTTTCTCAGTGGGACCCATCATCTGTGCACATGAACCGTTTGAGGGGGTGTACGGAGGGTTGATGGATAGAGGTTGCACCTAGAGCTGGGATGGAGGTTGGAGTTGTTGCTACAACTGTTCCACTAAATGGGAAAAGTTTCCACAAACACACTGTTTGTTTTTGTGTGTGTGTGTTTATCTTTTTGTTGTTTTTAATATGGCAGGGTAGTCAGTTTTGCTGATCTGCAATTATACATAGTCTTTTCTAAAATGTCCCTGCATTTTCATTTGGAGTTCTGTGCTAATCCATTCAGAACCAAGTACTTAAGGGTTAACTACTGCCAAAGAATAATCTGAACAGCAGGATTTCACCCAAGCAACTGGGGCAGTCAGGCTCCCAAGGACAACATCCTATTGTTCGCCAGAGTGTTTTTCTATATTTTGCACTCACCATCGGCAGCTTTTCTTTCTGTGTAAATTAGAAAATGCAGAGTAGCCACTAGGTTATTCAAAACAAGTGCACAACTCTTGCATTTCAGTGTTTAAGTTGCCTGAACTGAATAGGACAAGGGTAAGTGTAAAGTCTTGGCTCAGGGTCTGGGAAGATGCGGGGAAGTGCCAGTCTGCCGTAAGCGTTCCTGAAGGGTGGTGTTGCCTTAGGCTGGTGTGACTGTGGATGCTTTTTAAACATCCCACTGCCAGGCTTCCAGACAAGTGAAATTAAAACCTCTGGAGCTGGGCTTATGTGTGAGGATTTAAAACATCTCTCCCAGTATTTCTAATGTGGAGACAGGCAGAGAACCACTGCTGTGAGGCCTTGTCCTGCCCCAGAGCATCTGAGCAGGGCTGGAATCCCAGGACCCTGCACCACATACATGTCTCCTCGGCACCCAAGGTCTTCCTTGTGCCCCAGAAAGAGCCCTGGCCTCAAAGACCTACAGACCTGAGTTTGATTTGTATCTGCACTAACCAACTATGTGATTTTGAGCACTTCCTCTCAGATCTGTACACATGGGAATTGTGTCTGCCCAGTCCGTGACCTCAGGTGTGATGAAGCCTATGGCATTATTCTGTTAACCATAAAGCAACATATATATGCAGGTTGTTAACTGGTGCCAGTCCAGACGCCTCAGTAACAGCCTATATGATGTTCCACATCTCTTCCCAGTTCCTCTGCTCTACCTCCTTTCCCCCCTCCCCCACACACCTACACACCTTTAAAATATGCTACTCTCTTCCAAGGTTCACTCTTCATCCCACTTCCTGCTTGTGATCAAGGATCACCCTCATCCGAGCTGCCCTAACACTCGGTGGAGATCTCTGTTCCAAGATGTACTCAGTGCGGGCGTGACCTTCAGGTGCGCTTTGGCCTGAGCTCCTGGAGGTTAAGAGCCATGTCTTACGTCCTGAGCACAGATGCGGCGGTGCATACTAAGGATTAAAAAATTACATGTGGGTTGAATACTTTAATCCATTTTAATGGGACTCAGTCTCTTATAATGTATCATGACCTCTACAGCAAATGAAGTGCTTTATAGCTAACGGGTTTCATTCTCTTCAAAATATGATGCTGGAACATTCAGGCACAGCAGTTGGTTATGATGTGGGATGCCTGAGGGACTTTTGATTCTGCTTAAGTCACTTGCCAGAGGGGACAGTTAAATCCACCCATGGTCACAGTCTGATTGGAATCGTTGTGAAAGTCTTCACCATCTCTGGGGGCGGGACAGGAGCTGAGAGGAATCATTTTAGTAGCAGTAGAGTCATG